TGGCCCACATACCCTTGATAAGATTTGTGCACAGGAGCAGTGCTTATAGTTGAAGTTACCTGCAACTTAACAGAGACATCTATCTGTGGCGTATTTTCTTTTTTCTTGGGCTCAGCGCTGCGAACCAAAACAGCAGCTTGCATGGAGGACCTCAAAGCTTTTTTCCCTGGACTCCTGTCTAGAAGGTTATGGACCTCTAGTGCAGGTGTCTCATCAGCCTTGCCTTCAACCATCCATGGGGTCCCCTGGATTCACCATGACCCACTGTCTTACTCAGAACCCAATCAGAACTTGTTGCCAAGGGGGTTACAACAGTTCCGGAGATCTTCCCACGTATCAGGACAACATAAGGGGTGCAGAATGGTATGGACACAGTCAGGACATGCACTATTCTTCATGTAAGTAGATAACATGCCACATACTAAATGATACATGGAATTAGGCCATAGTATATGTCACAAAAGGGTAGATTTATTAAAACTGGTGCACTCAGAATCTGGTGCAGCTGTGCATGGTAGCCAATCAGCTTCTAACTTCAGCTTGTTCAATTAAGCTTTGACAGTAAAACCTGGAAGCTGATTGATTTATGTGCAAAGATTTTGAACTCTCAAGTTTTAGTAAATAATCTCTGAAGTTATGTTGTTTAATGTTTTTTTTTGATTATTATCATTGAGTGACTATTATAATTTTTTTTGAGTATATATTTTTGAAGGACATTATTTTTATATTCGTATTGTAATTTTGGATAATTGTTGCACTATTCTGATATTTATATTATTGCACTATTTTGATTTTGATTTTCTTAGCCAGCATATCACTCTCCACAAATGTTGTTTTCATGTCTCAATATTTTATTCTATCTTTATAACTTTGACAGCATTTATGCAAATAAATATAGAATTAATAAAAAAATTTAAACGTTGTTAATAATCTGTAGATAATTTAATAATAGTTTAGACTATTGAATCATTTGAAGATATTTTACTCATTATTATTTATTCATTATCTCTCAAAACAATAGACTGCTATAACAATCATTAAAAAAATAACAATATAATTTTTGACAAAAAATAGAACAATATTTCCTTGGGTTTATTACAATAAAAAAATGAATTGACACTAGCTGATTGATTATATTCATTCACCAAGATTTAAAATATGACATTTCTGCTCAGTTTTGATTTATGACAATAATCGCTTACACCATTTTTGGATGATCCAAAAAAATGACAACTACTTATAAGTCCTCATGCACACTTGACGTTTTTACAGCTGCTGTTTTCGTCTTTTTTTTTTCTACAGTAAACTCCCCAGTATGTTATCTCATTTCAATAATCTATGTGTCCTTGCACTGTAATCAACGTTTTCTGGCAGGAGCGTTTTTTGGCTGGAAAAAAAACCCCAGGACTAATGGGTTTCTAGAGTTTTTTAGCTGTAAAAACGCTTTAAACGCTGAAAAATGCTGCAAAACATGGTAAACTGGTGTTTTGGGACTTTTTTTGACCCAAAAAAAATTTTTTATTTTGGTAGGAAAAAAAAAACCCTGCAAAAGCGGAAAAATGTGGGAAAACGCCACTAATTGCAGCTAAATGCTAATGCAAAAACACAAAAAAAAGCTAAATAACTCAAATTTTTATGTGACTTTATACAGTTGCGTTACCAGCATTATCAAAACGCCCAGTGTGCATGGAGACTATTGCAGACAGTACATTGGTCGAATTCCGAACGATTTTTCATCCGAAAATCAAAAACGTTGTTCGCACGGTAATCCAATGGTACCATCAATGATTTTTAAAATCGTCGACCAAGTCATAAAGTTCACCCCATATAACAGGTGAAATTTCTGTTCCTTCCAGGTCACGGCTCATGCGCATATTCTTTTTGGAAAAACGATCATACGATTTGACCATCAATCGGTCATTTTTCATGAATTTTCCAACATGCTCAATCACCGAAAAGGGGAGGAACCACGAAAATCGGCAGGTGTCATTGACCCACTAACGGAGCAAAAATCTTCCGTTTATTCTTAGGTCCAAATTTATTCCTTATTATATTATTATTATTAAAAGGACCTTATTAGGTCCTTATTTCGGACAAAAAATTGGTCGAATTTCGACCCATGTATGGCCGGCCTTAGCCTCAGACAGTAAAAGCTGCGGTAATCAGAAAGTTTTCGGAGTTGTCAGTCAGGGTCCTATCGCTGAAAACACTGGCTTGTGGTCAAGAAATTGCTCTGCAATTCAAATTAAAAGTCAGGCTTTGCTTTAAAAGTCTTTATTAGGAAAGTCTTTCTCCATTGTATTTCTGTTTACCTATTATATTATGCATAAAGATAACCCAGAAAACATAGAGAAGAACATATTTATTTTTTGAGGCAATTGCCTCTTTATCTCTGCGTGGTTTTCTATTTTTTCAAATCTATTGTAGCACCCCAATAACTATTTACTTAACAAAATAACCTTATTGAAGATGTTATCTTATCTCAGCCCTTCCACCAATATTTGAATCAAGATATCAGTGACCTCATCAGACAGTCTGCTCTCTGTCTATACCATTGCACTGAAAACCAACCAGGCAAAAAAAAAAGGCAAAAAAAAAATACAAACAGTATTTTTTTTTCAATACATATAAAGTTAATTATCTATAATAACATATAATATTGTGCACAGAAAAGCAGGATATGTCTATGGCAATTATGATAATAATAGTGATTAAGAAATTGTATAGATATTACTGCAGGATTAAAAAAAATAAGCAACTGCTCGATCTGTAGCATTTTGTAAGCCAAATACTACATTAGAGTTAATAGTGCACATGTATAGAGTTGTTTTTGTGGGTTTATTATATATATTTTATTTGTGTTCTTAATGAATTTTTAATTTATTATATAATAAAAATATAGCTACCTAAAAATCTACCGCAACAAAATATTGTATTCTGTATAGTTGACATGCAAGTGTTCAAAATGGTAATTTAAAAAAAAATTCACATGCTTTTATCTACAATTTGTGCGTTTGCATGCAGACTACGCTGTCCATTATAAGTGACAGGGGTTGGGACAAAATATAAGCATGCCAGATGTACTTACATTTTTTATTGTTTTATCCACATAATTAGCTCTTTTTAATTATCGTTGCTGCAACTGTGGAAGCGCCTCAATCAGTGTTTTAAGTTGGCAGCTTGGCCTACAGGTAAATGTGGAGATAAATAATTTTTTAAAACAAGGCACGTAAAATGAAAAAATTGTACAAAATTAAATTTAAATGAATACTATTTAATTAAGTCTACCTTTACTTGTATTGGCTGTAAACCGTAAACAGTAATCAAAAGGAATGTTTAGCGAGTGCTACACGAAGAAAAAGAGAGAAACAAGGTAGCTGCTAGAACACCAAAAAAAGGCAACCAAAGAAACCTTCCAAAAATATAAGTCAAGACAAATAGGTGCAGCGCTAAATCATAATGTGCAACTTAATAAATATAAACAAATCACTGTATATTCACATCCTTAAAATACATCAGGTGCACTAAATGATATTACCATGTGGTGATCTTAGTGAGATAATTGTCCAATAGAGATGTAAACGTGTGGATCCCAAAGGATCAGAATTCTTAGTGTATGGATATCCGATCCGGGGGTGACAGATGATGTTCACTTGGAACACATCATGTGTTATTCACTTGGAACACATCATCTGTCACTCCCGGATTGGATATCCATACACTAAGAATTGTGATCCTTTGGGATCCACATGTTTACATCTCTATTGGACAATTATCTCACTAAGATCACCACATGGTGATATCATTTAGTGCACCTGATGTATTTTAAGGATGCGAATATATAGTGATTTATTTATATTTATTAAGTTGCACATTATGATTTAGCGCTGCACCTATTTGTCTTGACTTGTAAACAGTAATCAGAATTCAATATTTTTTACAATAATGGTCATTTTTTTATAACATTTAAAGATGTAAAGTGCTGCATAAATTGATGGCGCTATATAAATAACTGTAAAAATAATAATTTTTATATCCTGTGAGTTTGATGCACTTTCAGAACGTACACCACACCCATATGATATGATAGAAGTCTATGGCAAAGCACAGCTAACCCACAGGAAAGACGCAGGTGCATTGCACTGCATCCATGGTGCAGGTAAACCAGCTAAATCGCAGCACATTATTGTGAATGCAGCCTTATAGGGGGCTTAGAACAGTAAGGGGTCATTTATATTTGCTATTTGGGGGGTGGTAAACCTGCATAGTTGAGACATGTTTTAACCACATCCCACCCAATCACTGGTGTAGCGTTAGTGGTTGCAATGGTGACCCCACCCCATTATCCAGGGGGCCCATGTGGCTTCCCTGTTACATTCTGTTTTACGCTTGGACAGGAGGGGTGGTGGGGGCAGCATATACAGGAACTGATCCCTTCCATTTTCCTCCTGCAATCGCTGAAAGCTGGCTTCTCCTCCTCTCCCTCCCACTATCTTTCAGTGGCTGCAAGAGGAAAATGTTCATCAGGCTATTCAAAATTAAAAATGTTAAATTCTGACCCAGTTCATTTCATTGCGGCCCACAACCGGTTGTCAAATTACTTAAATGGCCCTTGCTCTTCAAAAGGTTGAGCACCCCTAGATGCATCACCAAGTAGATTAGGTGACTCAAAAATGACTTCAGTGCCCGATTCATAGGAGTTATTCCTATTAAATTTAATAGATACATATCTCCTCTTCCTCTCAAACAATCCTAAATTCTACTGATAACCTCTGAAACTATTTGACTGACCCAGCTCTGAAATTTACTGTTATGCATTTTTTTTTTCTTGATTATTGCATGTTGTATAGGAGTATCTTTTCCCATTAAATATAAATATGAAATTGGTAGACACTCAGATTGCGTAACATATTATTGTTTACTCTTCAGTTTCCAGGATAATTACACCTTCAGGATTTAGCGTACCACCTTCTAGCTGTCTGGGATACATCAGTGAAGGAGCCAAAACCTCTCTGTACCTTCAGCATACATCCAAGAGAAAAAGGAGGGTCCTTTTTTCCCAGGCCCAAGTGTATGAACTTGAGAAAAGATTTGAACAGCAGAAATATCTTACAGCCCCAGAGAGGGAACAGCTAGCCAAACATATCCACCTTACTCCCAATCAGGTGAAAATTTGGTTCCAGAACCATCGCTACAAAATGAAAAGGCAAGGCAAAAACCGAGATCATCCTACAGAGGAAGGAGCCAAAGCCTACAACATAGACTCAGAAGAGGTGAAGGTGACCTGCACTAGTCCATGCACTTCCATGGAAGATTATAGCGATGTGAAGCTGGACTACAAGGCCTCCATCCAAGAACAACTCCAAGGTCATAGTTTGTTTTTGGGACAGGACTTTCTTAGCTCTCCTTCAGATATCCATGAATTTGATAAATCGTCTCGGAATATTGTCTTCAAGCCTTGGTGACCAGTGACAGTAACTCTTTTATCAATGTTAGGGCCACACTTAGCTCTAAACAAATGCTGGATCATACTAAACAATCATTTACTGCCATATCAACATTTATTAAGAAAAAAAGGAAGTACAATCGGTATTCATAAATCATAAGAAGAATTACTAATTCTATTGATAGACGGCCTTACACATGAGTACAAAATGTGTGACATTTTAGACATTTAGTTATGAAAGGACAAATAAAATATGACTTTTCACATAGAACACTTATGGCACCTTCACACTAAATTTAAAAAAATTCAGATTTGCAAAGAAAATCTGCCTCTCATCCAGAAAACGAGGATATTAAAATACATGTTATTAAAACAAGTAGGTCATAATGTTGCCTACTATTTGATTTATGTTTTTTTAAATATTCAAGACAGGAGATTTGATTTTTGATATCCTGAACATTACATTTTAAGTTTGATAATAATAGTAGCTCTTATATTAATATTTACTATTTTTCTGTTTGTAATTAATTACTGAATTAATGCCTGCCTTTTTTAGTATGCATTGGCACAAAATCTGTAACTGAAACGATTTTTAGATGCACAGTGTTACCGCTTATTTGCATATATTCAATTCTGTATTTTTGGTTCTTAATATACTTCATGACATTGTTTATTGCAGCTAAAAACACGAAAAGTGCATACATCCCTGGGTTATTTTAGCCACTTTTCAATTTCAGTTTAACAAAACAAATACTGTATATATGATGATTAAATCAAATTGTAGCTGCTAGCTTTGATAAACACAGAACCCACCATAGTATTAATGCAAATGTGAATGTTTTTTATTTTTAACACACTTTAAATATACTTTTTCAGGTTAAAAAAAAAATTAGCACTTGGACATATGAGCCCTTAGAGTACAAAACAAAAATTGACAGTACTCCAGTCGGACTTTGTTATTATTTGCTTTTGTTATATTTATTATTACAATATTTTCTCTGATGTGCATGTTTTTTAAAAATAGTTTGTTAAAATGTTTCATAGTTTAGGATTCATGAGAATATATAAGTTTTTGAATTCAAGAAACATTGTTGCTTTAGAAGTACATCTTTTGTATCAGCGATCATAGGGGCAGACACGTCTCTGCTGTGTATTGGCACCATAAAGGATTTATAGATCTTCAATCGTAAGCAATATGTTCATGTAATTTATTATTTTTTTTCTCATTGTCATTTTAATGCTTAGATTTAAAAATAATGACAAAACACAAAAACTTTATTCTGATGTTTAGATCTAAGAATTATGCCAATATTAAATCTTTATTTTGATTACACATAAAAAGTTGTTTTTTTGTTTACGGCTCTTGTTTAATAAATTAATCTTCTGATTTAAGAAAAAAAACTTTGAGACTGTTTATTTGACAAATAGATTATTATGTTCTCTATTTATCTGTATAATATTTGTTTTACAAAATGCATACAGGAAAAAAAAACCTTGTAATTTTCACTTGTAATTATTAGGGACAATCATTTACGATATTAAAATTATATATATATTTTTATATACCTTTGAATATAAAACTTTCATCCAATATGGCACTGTAGAAAATAATAGATACAACAAGGGTAGGAAGTATAGTTTAGGGAGTGCAATACATAAAATATTCCAAAGACGTTGTTAAGAGAAATGTAACAATAACATGACACAATAGGAAAGAGTTCCTCCCCCATGTATTAATTATTCTCATTATTATTTTTATTATTTTTTAATGTTTTTACAATTAGTGGCATATTTTAGACAAAATTTAAAACAAAGCAGTTTTGGGCATTAATTTTATTGGACAAACAATTTTCACATGTGCATGTTTCAGATGTTAGATGAAAAGGCTGGAATGAGCAATCTCTATGGTGTCTGTTTAAGAAAGAGAGAAAAGTCGAGATCCTGAAGATCACATCCGATCTCTTAGGTGTGCCAGTATATGAAGCTTAGGTGAGGAGCGTAGAACATTTTCTTCACTTCTCATCACAGGACACACCCTTCTGTCATTCACTTTTACAGAGAAGGCCAGTTTATGAAGGTGAGATCTGAAGAACTCACTGGCCATCTCTTTAAAATATTTCTGTCCCAGATTCTCCAGCCCAGAGCTGGAGAATCTTGGTGAGAAGCTGCTGTGATGTGAGGAAGAAGGCTTCATCCTAATATCAGTACCAGTGGGGTTAAACATTGATATAAATTGTAACTATATACTGTATGTTTATGTATGTATATATGTATATTTGTGTTTTATATATAGTGTACAGCAGGGGTTAAAATTTTGAGTCCAGACCTACTAGCTGGTCACAAAACTTACTCTCCACCAGTTGCCCCACCCAACCATGCCCAGGTCTGCCCCCAACCCCAGCCCGCCCCATCCACGCCCCCTTAAAGCTTATGAAATTACATTTTTCTTTAGAATAAAGAGTCCAAAATATAAAACTGTACACAGTAATGTATATCCCCCCTCACCTGTACTCCATTATAGTGATATGACATGTACACAGTAATGTATATCCCCCTCCCCTGTACTCCATTATAGTGATATGACATATATACAGTAATGTATATCCCCCTCCCCTGTACTCCATTATAGTGATATGACATGTATACAGTAATGTATATAGAAGAGATGGTCGTACGTTTTCCTGCAAAATGTCTTGATAAACTCTGGAATTCATTTTCCCATCAATGACAACAATCCGTCCAGGCCCTGAGGCAGCAAAGCAGCCCCAAACCATGATGCTCCCTCCGCCATGTTTTACAGTGGGGATGAGGTTTTGATGTTGGTGTGCTGTGCCTTTTTTTCTCCACACATAGTGTTGTGTGTTCTTCCCAAACAACTCAATCTTGGTTGATGTCAGTAATGTATTATATACATATATATATATATATATATATATATATATATATATATGTATTTATTTTTAGATCAGATGATATCCTCAGGTGTGCATTTTCCTCTATTAATCCGCAGGTGATTGGTTGATAGGTCGGTCCTCCCACCCTCCGTCCTGAACCGTACTGCCTTCTGCTCTCCACTGTGCACTGAGAATGTCATCAGCAGTGGAAGAGGCCGGGGAAAGGGGGGGGGGCAGAAAACATGGGCGGGGCAGAGGACACTACTGGGAGTGGGGGGAGAAGGGGGCCAGAGGTCACTGCTATGGTGGAAAGGGGGGCAGAAGCCATTGTTGGGGGGGAGAGAAGGGGGCCAGAGGTCACTGCTATAGGGGAAAGGGGGGCAGAGCATATTGCTGGGAGGGAGAGCTGGCCAGAGGTCACTGCTATGGGGGAAAGGGGGGGCAGAGGACATTACTGAGGGGGGGAGGTGATGTGCAGAGGACACTGCTATGGGCAGGGCCACCCCCATAGCAGTGTCCTTTACCTCCCTTCACATCACCCCCCCCCCACAGTAGTGTCCTCTGCCCCGTCTTTCCCCCATAGCAGTGACCTCTGGCCCCACTCCCCCCAACAATGTCCTCTGCCCCCTATTCCCCCATAGCAGTGATCTCTGGCCCCCCTCTCCCCCCCAGCAATGTCTTCTGCCCCCCTTTCCCCCATAGCAGTGACCTCTGCCCCCCTGTCCAGCCCCCAACAATGTCCTCTACCCCCCTTTCCCCCATACCTGTGACCTCTAGCCCCACCTTCCCCCCCCACCAGCAGTGTCCTCTCCCCCCCCCCCCCCCCCATGGACAGGTATTTTAAAAATCTGAGAACTCCCAGCAAGTGGGGGATTTTTCTGCCCTCACCCTGGTACCCTAAGGCAGCTGCCAAAGCAGCCTTATGCTAGCACCCAGCATATGGCTGCTTAGGCAGCCGCCTTAGGGCACCAGGGTAGCTTGGAGGCAGAAAAACCCAAATCCAGACAGATTTTTCAAATACCTACCTTCCGACGATCCCCTTTATTGTCCTGAAGCAGCTGAAAGCTAGAATCTCCTCCTCGCCCTCCCACCAGAGTACAGCTGCTTCAGGAGGAAAATCAAGGGGATCGGTTCAAGTAAACTCCTCCCCCGATGCCCCTCCCATCCTTGTGCCTCCTTTTTTCTGCTGCCTGGTCCCTCCCCCAAGTGCTCCCCTTTCAACAGGGCTCCTAAAGAAATTGTGAAAAATATTACAAAATAAAAATGTAAAAATAAAAACCACTGGCACCATCCACTGCCCTACTGACACTGTCGACTTCTCTACTAACACCATCCACTGCTCTACTGACTGACTCCAACTTCTGCCCCACTAACACCGTCCACTGCCTGCTAACTGACACCATCCACTGTTCTACTGACACCATCCACTGCCCTATTGACTGACACCATCCACTGCTCTACTGACACCGTCCACTGCTGTACTCACTGACACTGTCTATTTTTAAGGTAGGTTAAGTTTGTATTTTTACAGTGAAATCTGTTTTATTATATTTTTCTACATTTTCCTTGCTATTTAGTTAGGCCTTGCTAGTTCATTTTTTTTTTTTTTTTTTAAATGGTGCTGAACCCCAGTGATCTTTGATCTCTTTCCTGTTGCTCAGGTAGATCTCCAGCTCTCAAAGGTTGCCTACCCCTGCTTTAAAGTGTTACTAAACCCCGGACTCTGCATTCACTATATCTGGTCTCCCACAGTACACAGAACATGGAAATGCAATTATTTTAGTAAATATAAACTGCTAAGTACCTTTTCCCATCAGCAATATATAGCAGTCTTGTGACTTGTATCAGTGTCCAGCAGAGCACTGGTTACAGCTTGCAGGAGGAGTTTTTATTCTCCCCTGAGTGTCCTATGAGGCTACAAGACCCCTGACCCTCTGTCTAGACAGCGTTGATTGGCTGATCACATGCAGTCTCCCAAGAAGAAGAAAAAAAGCTCTCTAGCAATACAAACTGAGCATGTGCAGAGTGCCTCCTAGGGCTCCATACTAACAGCAGATGGATTGGGGAAAACTGGAAGAAGGGGAGGATCAGAGCAGACAGGATCAAACAGCCTTTTTACACAATG